TATTATTTTGAGGAATGTAGCCATCTGGATAATTTAAACCAACGAGGGATGGGGAGAGGTGTTGTAATAACATTCAAGTCAGCAGAGGATTTTACTAAGACAAGGCCTAAATGGAGACATTGATTGATAATCGCTATTTAAAGTGCGGGATATGGAATTTCCCGCTGACCATAACCCAAGAAGGGAAGTCGGTCAAAAAGATAAAGGAAATGGTGGCCTCTGATTATTTGTATACTTGAAAGCCATCTGTTAAATTTCTGGATTTTATGAGCGAAGATAAATCGAGGGATTTTGCCGACGAGAAGTGAACTGATAATATTTTTAAGGTTTTTTGGGAACAAAGGCGCAGTTATAGAACTGATTTATCCCTTGTCAAAAAAAAAAAAAAAAAAATAGAGGGAAAGGGTAAATCGCTAAAGAAAAAATTCTTTAGATAAGAGCCGAGCCCCAAGTGTCACCGGTCGGAACTGCTAAGAAAGCTGTCATGGGAACAGTTGGTGAATGTCCGACTGAGAGAATGGGGTTTAAATTAAGTATTCCCTTTGACGAAAATTTTGAACGATAATTAAAATTAATGATTAAGTAACCACCACCTACGCAATCTAAAAATCGAGTTTGTCAAAATAACAACTGAAGTGAAGGGCTCAGGTGAAATCTCAAGTGGACGGAGGAATTGCCTACGCACGTTTAGTAGTATTGGTATGAAGTACCTATATGAGAAGGAGAGAGTTAAGGTGGAGTGATATTCTGCTAGCACTACTCTTAGGAGGAGAGATCACGCCCTAAATTGGGCATGCAATTAATTTTCGGGAGTCAGACAACAATGTACGTTTTGTAGGGGTTAAGGGATTTACAGAAAACCCAGGTCTCGTCAGACTCCACGCCAGTTTTGGACGAAGGTCCATATAAACAGAAAGTGAAAGCAGAAATTGAAAACGACCAGACGCCGGACGAGAGACGACCGCTTCACCTGATCTCATGTGACTTCCTGCCTGAAGGAACCTCCAACTTTGAGCTGTGTTCCAGAAGCCTTGTTTTACATACTCACGACGGACAAAGTGTCACGAAATATTCGAAGAGGGAAGGGTCGATAACTCTGCATGAAGAATATATATTCCTGCCTGAAGAAATGATAATTGTACTACCAGCTCTGTACAAGAAACGTTATATAAAACATTTTCTTTTATACAATTTATTTTTTTTTACTTGTGACTTCACTCTGTTCGGACCAAACCAATTTAACGACGCCTGTTTATAATTTGATCCTTGCCAGCCTTGTGATCTAAATCAAGCACAACTTGGGGCACGACAAGGCTTGGATCGAAGTGATCCATTCAACGCTCAGCCGTGTGGATCGAACATCGAACGTCATAGTGAGTCCAAATTCTCCTCATTACCATGCAGTGTGGGACTTCGGAGTTAAAATGAACAGTTGGTTTACTCACGCCAAGAAGATTAATGGAAGCTAATAATAACGAGGAAACACACGGGTAATTTTAATAAAATAAGTTAAGGAATTTATTTACGAATTTACACGCTTGAAGTTGTCAGTAGCTCGTTTCAGGAAAATAAATCAGAATTTTTTAAAGTCCGTAGTTTCAATGAATTGTCATGAAGAAAAAATGTTCATACAATAGATGAAATGATCTGACACAAAACAATATTAAAAATATTTTTAAAATAATGGTAAGAAAGTCCATTGTTCACAGAAGGGGTATACGGTTTCATACGTTCAAAAGTAGATGAAGAGAGATAGTTTGAAATACTTAGCTTTCTTGAATTGTTGAAATAAAGTTCTTTGAAGTGATAAATGCTTGGTTAAGACCGATAATATAATTAGCGAGTTATTTGACACTGGCGAAAATTTAACACTGGACGCATGAACAGTAATTAAACTTTTAACATGACTTCAGACATTCTTTTCTTGTTGATTTAATTTTTTTCCTTATTTTATATCAAAAAGGATTTCACATAAGCTCGCTATTTCCTTTCTTTTCTTTTTCTAGGCTCAACAGCTAATTCCTGTGAAAACAAGGTTTTCATTAGTCCAAAGAAAATTTCACATAGGGTCGCGAATTTGTTTTCTCTGAAGTCAGTTTTCATTGGTCCAAAGAAAATTTCACATAGGCCCATGAATTTCTTTTTTTCGTCCGAATTTGAAGGGAGTGATTAAAGTGAGTTATTATTATTTCGTACGCACCACAATCTCTAAATGCTAATCCTCTTTGACTTAAAAACTTTATAACAGCTACAATTCTTTTCAGTACTTCAGACTAATATTGTACATTTTTTCATCTGTTCCTCAAATTACTGATCCACAATGATTTAATTTAATTTTCTTGTTTTCCAACGCAACATTGCCCTCTTATATTCTATGCTATCAAGTTTACGGTCATATCACATTAAAACACCAGTTCCCGTACGATCGCCGAAGTTAAGCTATATCGAGTCTGGTCAGTACCCAAATGGGTGATCACTTCCGATTACTTGGTGCTGTAAGCTTGGAAGTGCGGGTGATGTAACGGATGACGGCTCGGAATTGGATATCAGAGAGCCGAGTTCCAATTCCTATCGGGTCCGTTATATTCACTTCCGCGCAAATACCCTTGGGAAATCCAACTCTTCTCCCTCTAGTTATGGGTTAATTAGTAGAAATTGTATCAGTAAAAATCATTATCTCAAAAAAAATTATTACAATCTAAAAATATTTTTAACCTTTAAATAACCCACAGAAGGTTGATAAGCCGTAAAAAAACAAATCAATCAATCAATCTATGCCGTCATTAAGATTCTCCCGAGTACTGAGTATATTCCTCAAGTCAAAAATACTCTTGTTGTAAGTAATGTTTGAAATTTAGAAAAGAGATTGTAATCAAAATAGGTACATACAAACTTGAAAGCAAAAAGCAGTCTGGCAAAATGACACCTGACATGAAAATGCATCCAAAGTAGAAGTATGTCATTGAATTCTTCTTCGCGAAAAAAAAATCGAACCCATTGACATTCATTGACACTTGGTAGGTGATTACGAAAATCAAACAGAGGATGTGAACCTAGTTAGTAGGTGAATAATATATTACAATAATGGCGACAACGATTTTTGTGAAAAACCAAGTTCGGGCACAGCTGCCAACACACAAAATAAAAAAAAAAAAGTCTCGAAAATGCCTCGGCAATGGTGGTGACTACGCGGAAAAATAAGTATTTTGAAAGTGAAAATTTGCGCAATCCAACGGTATTATTATACTCCCTGCGTCTGTTGTAGAAATAAATAGAAAGCATTACATTCGGAGCATCCCTCGGATATCCAAGAGATTGCAGAAAATTTCTCGGTCTGACCACTTCCCATTATATGATGAAATGATCAAAACAAACGAGTTTTACCTTTCAACATCCACCCCTCATATATATATATATATATATGAGACCGAGAAAGAAATTTTCTGAATCTAGGGAATAATATGATAAAAGAGTATAGACGCCTGCTAAAACAAGATAACCTATTTGTTGGATTATAAAGTGCAAAAAAACTGTATTTAAATACATCAACTTTTGGATGGAATGCTGCGTTGGAGATGGGGATGAATTACAATAAGCATTGGTCTACAAAATGAAATTATTTGTCGATAGATGTGAGTGTATATATTACGTATTGGCAAAATTACTATTTTCTACGTTCCTGTGTTATCATTCTTGACACTTATTATTTATATCTTGCAGCGTGCGTTTTATCTCTTGGCCAATTTAGCAATTCTTACTTAATGGAGATAATAAATTTGCACTTTTCATTTCCAATTTGATCTTTTGTGGTCTTACTAAATAAACTATTGTTTTGTTGGTAGATTTTGTAGTTAAATTTCTCAGTTATTGTAATATCTGTCCTGAAAGTGGCAACGACCTTTGAATTTAAATGACAACTTACTAGAAAACGGGAAATACGCAATGTTGATATTTTTATGAATTTTGGGAATTATGATATAATTAATGTGCACACATACCTTATCAATATTATAATAATAAAAAATAAAATTAAAATAAAAAATTATAAGAATTTAGATTAAATTATAAATAAATCTCATTCTTTTTGTGCGGCCTCGTTCCAATATCCGTTATACATGACGTCACGCTAGACCATTTAAAACGTCCAACTTCCCAAAGAATACTAGGATGCAGACAAAGGAATTCTAACTACCACACGAACACCACATTGGTTCTTGATAATAACTGCGAAAGTCGAAAGTACTTGAACAAAAAATAACAAAATATGAACTTTGGACAGTTTATCCACAACTCCGTGCACGATACTCAACATGTTATCCGAAAATTGGAAAAATACAATAAAAAATTAAACAGACCTTGTCTGTTCTTTTTAATCAAACTTCTTTGCATAATTGATTTGCATAATTTAAGTATTTTTAGGATGGTGAGCACACGAAAAGGCATACAGTTAAAACAAGATTAAAAAAGGACCACACAATGATTTGAAGAACTGAAGCCAATTATGTGCTCATTTTGTCGACAATTACAAAGGTAAAGAAAAGATAAGGTTATACATTTTCAATTTTAAGCAGATATGATGGGAAAATAGTAAATTTTAAATAGAGTAATTGTATCGCCAAAACAGTTCTTGTTTTTTAAAAGGTAAAAGGGGCTTGTATAATAAAATAAAAAGGACAATGTCTTCTCTTTTCTTTTAGGAAAGGAACAAGTTCTTTCTGCTCAGACTTGTAATTCGTGTAACAATAATCAATAGTTTTGTATCCCAAGCGGGGGGACTCTGTAAAATAGGGTTTTCTTAATGTGTTGAAGTGGGTTAGACAAGCTTGAGAGATTGAGCACAATATCTGTCGAAATTTTACCGTAACAATTGACAGTTGGCTTGATTGTTGTCCAGCTTTGTTTCCCAGTGTGTTAGTTCGTCACGCAGTATGGGCGTGGGTATTAAAGCCTGATTTCCCCTTCGGCCCACTTCATACATGTACAAACAAGAAAACACAGCAAACACGCTTTTCAAAATTTTTATTTTCTCCCTCTTTCTAGTTTTCTTTGATGTGACTGTAGAAGACAAAAACGATAAATGTTATCATCATGCGTCGACTTGCGCCTGGATTTGGTTCTTGAGATAAGGAAACAAACTCACCTTGGGCGTAAGTCGACCATTATTATTGTTTTAGATTGTTTGATCACCTTCAATTTGTTATCTAAATTTGTTCTTTGATTGTTCTTGCTTTGCGGGTAGATTAAAGCCATGATTGCCTATATGTTTCTGAGATTAGCCAATCACCTACACACAAATAAGGATTGTATAGAATGCGATTTAATGCTGGATGTGTGTCGTATACTATCGAAACCAGAAAAATGTGAAACCGCATATTATTTTTCTGTTTTGTTTGTTGTTGTTTTTGAAGAAAATAGAGTACACATTAATGCAATAAAAATAACGTTGAAAGTACTTGCTTTGCTTATATTACAGGTTTCAATTAATCTATAGCGGGATCGGATGCTGAGGTAGTAATTACCACGTTGTTATATGTATTTGTAGTAGTATTTGATAGAGGAATCTCTTTTCCTTTTTTTTTCTATTGAGAACGAAATTAATAAAAACGTCCAACGATATAACAACAGTAAGACTTGCGACACGTGTTGACATTAATAACAAGAATATTTACTTTTCTTTTACGTGATGTAAATTACCATGTACTGATGATGACATAAGTATTCATAATTGGGATAAGAATGATCTTGAACAGAAAATCAACATCCTTTTCCAAATGTTCCAAGATATGGGACTCAGAATAAACCTTTCCAAAACAGAAACTATGATCTGGAATTGTAATAAAAGTTGTGATGGCTCCTACCCTGAATTCATAATAAAAATTCAGGATGTGGAATTATTAAATACTAAACACTTCAAATACCTCTGCGTTTGGATCAGTTATAACAAATTTAGTGTACGGGAAAGGTAAACTGAATATAGAATAGGCTGCACCAGAGGTAATTTCGCCCAACACCGCAAATTGCTACAGAACTAAAGCATCAACATGGAAAATCAAGTCATGTTCTTAAATAGCCTCGTCAGATCAAAACTTTCATATGGATGTGATGCATGGTTCCAAACCCGTTCAGAAATATCTAAACTATCAGTTGTATACAAACTGTAGATCAATGTTTAAAAATGGCTTTGAGCGAGTGAAGTATGAGGGTCTTCGCAAAGCTCATCATTCTTTGAACATTGTGAACTGGCGTTACAGATTCACAAACAAAGAACTGTACGAAATAGCACAAACCACATCGCCCGAGGACTATCAACAGCAGCAACAACTAAAATGGATAGCACATGTAACTGGAAGAGAAAATAATGATATAATGAAGACGTTGGCATTCCACACTACTTAAAATAAAAGCTTAGAAAAGAAACCCCATCAATACTGGAAAGAACAATAACAGCCACTGGACTTGAAAAACCTATTTTCCTGAAAAAATAATTTAAGAGAAAGATTTTATAAATTTCTACAGAAAGTAGTAATGGCTGCTCGATCAACGAAAGCCAAATGTTTCCTTGCAAGAAAATGGCTAATATTACCATTACCATTATTGGCCGACATGATCTCAATAGCATAAGATGCGCAGCTGATACTGCGTTAATGACAAACACAGAAAGAAAATTGCAGGAACTTCTAGACTAGATAATAAAGAGAAACAAGAAGAAAGGATAATCAATTATAAGAAGACATAATGTATGATTTTTAGCAAAAGGGACAGCCCAACATGCAAAAAACAATTTGGAAATGTTAGAATCAAACAGAAATTTAACCTTGTTATAACAAACGACGGAAAACATGACATAAAAATCCGATGACGTTTTGGAATAGCGAAAGTTAACTTTCAAAAGCTATACAAAATATTAAGAAACAGGAAAATTTCGGTAGAAACCAAGAAAAGAGTGCGATTACTCTTAGGTTATATCAATCCTCCTTTATAGTAATTAATGCTGAACAATCTCCTCACATATAAAGAGGAAACTTAAAGCAACAGAGATGTGGTTCTACAGAAAGATGCTGATAATACTATAGACAGAAAATCTGAACAACAGGAAAGTTTCAAGAAAAATAGAAATAAAAAAGAACACTTTACGTAGAGGTAGCTGAAATTTCTGGAAAACGAGGAAAGAGGACTTGGAGAATTTGATACTTACAGGACATAGTGAAAACAAGAGAGACAGAAGGAGACAGCGAATAACCTACCTATCAAGCCTGTGCAAACGTATGGCAAAATGGAACTTGAACTGTGTGGACTTCGAAAGAAGTAAATTCCCTGCAGCTAATCTCAACAAAGACAATTCAATGTCTTTAAAACTGCTTGCACAGATATGTCCACACAACTACTTCTGCGTCATGTACACATCCATACCATGTTGTGTAACCGCTATTATTCAGCTCAAATGAAGAGCTAAATAGCTGTTTCTATTTTTTAAATTTATATTTCGTATGTTTTACTATT